GTTCCCACTTTGAAAACAGAACGGTTCTGGTACAGTTAGTGATGTTCCTTTCCCAGCTAGATCATTTGCTTTTCATTTGCCTTCTATCCCTTGGTGAGCAGGCACCCAGAGTAGGATGACTTTATTTTCTTTGCCCTAATTTGTTGAGCTTCTCTAAGGCTTCTTTGACCAACTTCAGATTGATGGTTGGGTTGATCGCGTTTAGTGCTGCTTGACTATTGGATAAGATGGCAATTTCTGTTTTCGATAGTTTCCTATCTAAGATAATAGTTTTTAGTTTAAAAGTTACAGGATGTTAAAACTTTAAAAAGATAGTCCTTTTGTAAACTAAACCAAACCAATTTTTTTTTTTTTTTAAACTCAACTATAAACCTTTAGTTTTGAAATTTGCTGTAGGTAGCACTATATATCAGTGTTATAAATTCTAATAAAATTGTAATAAATTAAATAAATAATTTATTATTTTATTTTATTTTATTAATTGTGATTAATAAAATTGCGTTTATCATCGAGGGTAGGGAGTGACAAAATTACAAAAACAACTTTTAATCGGCATTAAATAATGGCCTACACATTTTTACTAATGAGGGGAAAAAGTCAGTGGCGCAGCAATAACTAGATCTATTTTGGTTGTTTACTATACCTGTGTTAAATTATTTTCTGGCTCATCTCGTTGAGGATTGCAAAATTAATTACCTGAAAAAGAAAAGAAAATATTGGTTAAAAATATTAGATACTTTTCCCTAAAATAAGAATCTTAACTCTATGTATTTACTTATTGTTATCTACTATGTCCATGATACAAAGCAAGGTATGATCGATAGCGGCTCCAATTTTGTCCAGTTTGCGCATATCACCTGTGACGTCGTACGTCATGCAAAAAAATATCCATATTGTTCAATTGCACTAATAAAAGGACCTAAAACAGGGAATTAGGACATAACCTCAAAAGTTATGTCAAGTAATTGTCAAATCATTGAGCTTGACATTTTTCATATTATTTGTCATCAGTTTGACTTTGAAATTGGCGCGCAGTGCTTGCCGACCAATGGTGTCGTTTATCACCTGTGACGCAGTGACCAACCTGCGCAATATCATACCTTGTTTTCTTTGTATTATGCTATATGTCTACGTGTTATACACGTCTGGTTGCCAAATTAAATCAGTCAATCCTTCGATATTTTGGCCATATTGCTAGGAGGCGCACCTCAATTGAGAAACTGACGGTGGAGGGGAAGATAGAGGGAAGGTGATCACGTGGAATTCACCTAAGTAGACCAAGTAAAAACCCTAGTGGGCCACAACCTCCCCGAAGCCTCACACATGGCGCAGTGTCGAACAAGTTGGTCCAAGGAAGTGAGGGGAATCAACACATGATGTCACCATACTCTCACGTAGGGTGAAGGACTGAAGAGAGATATGTCTAAAGTCTTATTTTTAATTTTATATAGGCAAAGGAAGAAACATTACCCACAGTAATTATAATGTTTTAATGATAATAGCATCCCTTATTTACTCTATTGTTAAGTAGACTATGTACACTCGAAGAGAGTAGACGTGTTTCGATCCGTCCGGTGTAAAATTAATAATAGAGGTTAAAATATTTTAAATTTTAACTATTTTGCTAAATTCTTGGTGATCGTATTTAGTAAAATATTTAAAATGGTGTTTACTGAACGACAAAAAAACGAATTATTGTTAGTAACAACAGAAACATCTAAAAAGTGTTGACCGTGCCTTAAATGATAAAAACTTTATGGAATGTTTAGCTGCTAAAGTGGCTGGTATAGTAGTGGATAAAATTAGTGAGCATATCAAGGATTTGGAAAATAAAGTCAACATGTTGGAAACACGACTACGCAGTGCAGAATGTGAGAAGGAGGAAATTTTTAGTAAACTAGATGACCTAGAGCAAAAATCAAAAAAAAAAAAAAAAAAAAAAAAAAAAAAAAAAAAAAAAAAAAAAAAAAAAAAAAAAAAAAAAAAAAAAAAAAAAAAAAAAAAAAAAAAAAAAAAAAAAAAAAAAAAAAAAAAAAAAAAAAAAAAAAAAAA